AACTAAATAAATAAATAAATGATTCTTAGGAAAAAAAAAAAAAAACCACTCACCACAAAAACAACCAAAAGATAGGAAGGGCTTGAGCGATTCTGAGGGGAAGGGTGGCAACTGCTCTGGGCTGGTCTTCAACTTCCTGTGTGGCTTTGGGTAAGGCTGCTTTGCACCCCTTGCTTCCGCTTATGTTGAACAATCTGGTGTTCGCCAGGCCCACCCGGAAGTCCCCCAGTGAGGAGGAGCCACCATTCTCACATCCAGACCTTCCACAGGGGTTCTAAGAGGGGCTGAGTCTACCACACCACACTCAGGCCCTGAGCAGCAAAGCTCCTGGCTCACAAATGTGGTTGCTGACTCGGGCCAGCCTTTGCCCTGTGTGGTGGGGGAAGGAGGGCGTGGAGGCTGGGGGGTCGTAGGGGTAAGGCGGTAGGGGTCAGGGGTACCAGGCAGGATCGTGGCTGTGAGAGCCCCTGTTTGGGAAGAGAGCCTGGAGACCCCCAGTCTTCAGGAGGCTGCCGGGGTTGCTGGGGGGCGGGCTGCTGTCTGCTCAGTTGTGCCTGGGCTGCCGGTGCCTGAAGAAGCCCCTCTGCCATAGTGCTCCCCGTGAGCACTGCACTGGGCTGAGCTGGGAGAACAGGCCGAGAAAGTGGCTTCTGTTCCCATCACCCTCACAGAGTGGTCTCTCATGGGCGTCCAGCACCAGTTCAGTTGTGGGCCATTGAGGTCCTCACAGAAGTGCTTCTCCTGCAGTGGGGCGGAGCCCGGCACACTCACACCCAGTGCGCATTACCCAGCAGTGTGGCGGGCTCACCTTCACAGGCCGCTGGCACCCTGGGTGCCCAGAGACACATGCGGGTTCTTGCTCTGCTTCCCCACTCAGGCCCGGTGTGTGCCTACTGTGTACAGGCACTTCATCAAACCTTTCTATAGGTACCCCTTCATACCATGCTCATGTATGCTCCATTATCCAGAGGAGGAATTTGGGGACAGAGGGTGAGGAACCTGTGATGGGCTGTGGGCATGGCAGCAACTCACAGGGCAGTCCTCTTACCACCATCCTGGGCCATGGGCACCCAGGGCCCCATCCCAGTGGGTCCTGTCCATGATGTACATGGGACAGTAGAGGGACCAGAAATAGGGCTGTCATCCCAGAAGAGGGTTTTTCTGGAACCTCTGATCTTGATCACAGTGGAGATGAATACTGAAAAGAATCACAAATGGTTCTCAAATCTATCAAAAGATACTAAACCTTGCTCAAAGTGACAAAAATGAAAATTAAAGTAACTCTGAGATACTATTTCATATCTATTACCTTGGCAAAGATAAATCCTGACTCATGCATGGCGCGTGAGTATATATAACCCCCGGAGGAGAAATGTGACAGGCTCTGGTGCAATACGGATGGGCCCGGGGGTGCTTTGTAGGAATTTACCCACTGAATATATACATAATATGCAAAATGACCCATATCATGTTTGTATTAACAGGAGACTGGGAAAACCCAAATGCCCATGGATAAAAGAGCTAGAAAGCCCTGCATGGACCATCAGTACCATGGGGGCACCATGCGGCTCATTAAAACTCTGGAGGATATTCTCTGTTAACAGATATTAAAAAGAGCTCTAAGATACTGCCTGGGGGAAAAGAAAAACTCTAAGACATTACATATATAACATTACCATTTGGGGGAAACAAAGAAAACCAGGAAAAATAGAAATACCTGCAGAAACTATGGCTGTGTTTTCACTGTGAAGATTCTCTGGGAGAAGAGACAGCTGGAGGCCAGGGCACAAGAGGGAGAGGTTTGTGTTAAGGAGCTTTTAGACATGGTCATCTTTTCTTAATTTAAAAAAATATAATAGTTTATTTTTATTGTATTTTGTGCCTTTTTCCATCTCAGTTGTAATCCCCATGGACTTCCCATCACGAAATCACCTGCGTGCCATCACCATAGTCCCGTGCACTTCGC